AGTTTGTATGTCTCCCGGTGCTACTCGTGGCCCTCGTGGGGTCGTGGGAGATGAAAAGATTAGTTTTGGGTGCTGTTTTAGTTTGTTTTCACTTTTCACTTAAATTATGAAAACAATATCACAGGCCCCAATCCCCATGCATGCACGAAGGATCCATGCATTTAGACGTGATAAATAAAAAAGAAAAATACGGACAGACCTATTTGATATTTCTGAAATCCAGGCCAGTCCATATAAAACTTAAAATGATAATTAAACTCAACTTTTCAGAGGGAGAGCGAAAGAGGAGAGAATGAGAGTAGGAAAGAGGAGTTTTGGGTCTGAGAGGAAGAAAATTACAGGAAGAGGAGAGTTGAGAATGGGAGAAACTACGAAAGAGGTGAGAGAGGAGGGAGAGATCTAAATAGTGGGCTCCAGCAGGGTTATTTTAGTCAAAAAAAAAAATAGAGAAATTGTGATGTGGAATCCAAGTTAAATTGCCACCTCATAAGTAAAACAAAGAAGTGTTGGCGTATGAATCTATTCTAAGATTGAAAAAGTTGAATTTAAATGTGATTTTGGGTTATGTATCTGTCTTGGATTTTAGAAATCTGAAATGGGCCTATTTTCCTAAATAAAAAGTATTTATGGAGAAGTACAGACAGGCCCAATGCACATTTCTAATTCCCACTGCAGAGTTATAAACATTTAAAAGGTCAAAAGCTCACATTCTATGCACCTATACCCATCCGTGAATTGACATCAATTTCAACTGACACCTACCCCAAATATACTTTAAGCCTACAAATTCTGACCTTGGGCTGAATCATCATTCTTTCAAGTATTTATTGAAAATGGGAGGCATGTTTTTGTTGTTATTTAACTGAGGATTACTCATACTCTAAGGTTATGTATTAAGGCATGCTTATTTTGCGTCAATAGGAAACATGTTTTCATGGTTATTAACTGAAAGATTACTCACATTAGGGACATGAGAAGAGACAATAGGAAGAGAGAACAAAAGTAAGAGAGAGAATGAGGGGAGAAAGAAAAGAGGATAAAAGAGAAAATTAGGAGAAGAGAGAGGTGAGAGAAAATAAAGATTTAAGGAGATACAGACACAGTGGTGTATATTTACACTTTTATGGAGTATTTGCACCCAAAAAAAAAATCATATAGTACCAAAAAGCCTTCTTTTACATTCACTACCCTTTTTGCTTGATTAAAAAAAGACTTTTTTTCCCATGTGCGACTGCAATGTGCTGTGGGTTGTCATGTGGAGCTCTCGGTGGGAAGAAGATCCGAATCCCCCATATATGATTAATAAACCCATGTTCAACCTGTATGAGTTTGGGTGGATTTTAAATGGGTAGGGTCAGAAATTGCCACCTCTGGACGACCCTTATCATCATCATCAGCTATTGAAAATTTCAGAGAAAGGCTATTTCTATTTCATGAAAGACAAGATGAAGCTTTAAATATGCGGATCAAAGACTAACGGAAGCTGTTAATTAGCTGGTTGGGCCAAAGATGGACTGATTGATAAATTTAAGTTAGAAATTTGGTTTACCACCTGAACTAAATAGCTTGAGAAATGACTAATTGAAGTGATTCTGATTTACTAGTTATTTAAGGTTGTATTTGGCATTCTTTATTTTAAGGATTTATCTCTTTTTTTTGCAGTTAGAATTGAGATTTTAACTAGAAAAAAAGAGATAAATCCTTAAAATAAGGAATGCCAAATGCAATCTAAGTCTAACAACAGATGAATATGCTTTAGAAATATTCATGATCATTCAAGTATATATGACATTCATTGCCCTCAAAGGTCCATCCAAGGGAGGGTATAGTGATATTTTAATTAGAGTAAATTACAAAGACCCCCCTGTACTATGGGGTCTGATACTGTACTTTGTTTTGCGACAAAGGCCCCTCTGTACTATGACCATGAGACAAAGACCCCCCTTGACCGTTAAGTCAGATGATATAATGCATTAAATTGTTAAAATACTCCATTAAACTTTTTTTTATTTTCTTTTTTTACCCTTTTTCTCTTAAAACCTATTTAATTTATTGTTTTCTTTTCTCTTCTTTTCCCCTTCCTCATCATCCTCTCTCATTCTTTCTCTCTCCCAACTCTCCCAAATGAACCGCCGTGGCCTCCCGTTGTCTCACCTTAACTTGCCACACCTGTACCTCCACTCACTCTTCCAACAGAGAAACTGGGGAGGCTCTGATTCATAGATGTAGGTTGGAGTCTGAGGGCATACTGGATTTTTTTTGGACAGATTGTCCTAACTTGCAATGTTGTAATTGTAAAAACTAGTGGGCTGGATTTGTTCACATATGAACCTGAAGTTAAAATTCTCCGCCTGGTGGAGGACAAAGAAATTGAATGTCTGCTGGATTTGTTCACACATGAAAGCCAGATGGTTCTTCTTGCTTCTGGAATGCAGTGCAAGACATTTACTGGATTTCAGTTTTCATCTGGGGGAATTATTGGGTTGCCAAGATTTGATATGGCAATGGCTAAAGCAGAGGTGAATATAAAGCCTGTTCTTGCTGCAGAAAGAAGATGGTGGGCTAATGTGCCCAAACACATTAATGTTGTCACTTGCAGGCTCATTTGGCTTCTCCAGGACGTAAGACCTATTAATGTTGTCAAGATTCACGTTGACGGGATGTTGGGCGACCATGTGGCTGGTTATAGAACAAGATTAAGATGGCAATATCATCTGATCTTCCCAACAACTGTAGAATTAGCATTGCAGAAATGCTCTTCAGTGGCGAAAGCGATTCGATGCATTCAAAATTTCTAAGCTTCTGTTGGTGGATAACTATCAATCCACCGTCATACAGTGATTGCAGACTACACAAGTATGCTCTCTTTTCTTCCCATCCACTAAAATGAGGTGATGATATGGCCCTCTAGCATGAATCTGGCGAATACTAATTACGTGTACGTAATATGTATGGGACACATCAATTTATATATTCGGTTGATTCTCTGATAACTTAATTTAGGCCTAAAGCCCAGAAATACACATACAATGCATGGCTGCAGGCTAAGCAAAACCCCCGTTGGGAGTTGGAACCAAAAATAGCAGAGCTAGCTGAAATCTTACAACCTCTCATTATTAGAGTTAATTAGAGGCCTGTAATTTATATATTGTTGGGCCAATAGCCTGTTGCCACCTCGAACAACTGCAATCAATTCCTTTCTCCATCCTTACCATCAAAATCAACCCAAGAAAAAAATATATGCCTACTAAGAAAACTGAATATTCATTAGAAGAATCTAAAGTCACCGTATGTCTTTGTCATTACTTCAAACTTTCAAAGGAGTATAGAGTCAGCATGAATTGAAGCCACATATTTCTATTATGAATTGAGAGATGTGTAGCTATAATTCATGACAGATAGAAAATGAGTAGGAAAAATTAGTAGGAAATCTGGGCTCACCTTTGTGGACCCTAATCACATTGTACTATATATGTTCTTATATCCGTCTTATAATTTTATCAAGTGCATCGATAAACCTATTATAGAGTGTTTGTATGGGCTGAGCTGAGCTGGGTCAGGTTTCATTAATGTTCGTAAAAATGAAAAGAAAAACATGAAAATATGATAATCATTCTGATTATAAACCGCCTACTAGTTTACACATAAAAGAAGAAAAATTTATGTCATAGCATATAATTTGAATGAATATCTTTAAAGGATCACACTAAAGGAATTAATAACCCCATCTACTATAAATATATTAAAGCAAAGTTCTCAGATAAGAGGATATTCCTCCTTCAAACATGTGGTCAACCTTCCTCATTCAAAAAAAAAAAAAGTTTAAATAAATTTAACCCAAATTAAAATGCAACCTCATTTCTTCTCATTCACAATTTCTCCCTCTAACATTTTGGAGAAATTATACAAATAGACTCCTTTCATTAATGTGACATTAACAGTCTCACCGAAATTGATAACGTCATGCTTTTAGGCTGCATTTGCCATTCCTTATTTTAAACGATTAATTTATCTCTTTTTTGCAGTTAAAAGATAAACAATGAGGATTTAACTATAAAAAAGAGATAAGTCCTTAAAATTAGGAATGCCAAATGCAACCAAAATCACATTTAAACATTTTAAAATTCCTAGTTTATCAATGGATAATAATATTGAAGTATTTATTTGACTGAATTACCTTCAAATACATTAAGAGGACTACTACTTCAAAATACGTGCCTAGCCTTCACTTGGAAAGAAGGGGTGGACTGAACGGTAAAAACCCCTAATTTTTATTCGAAAAAAATTAAAAAAAAAATGCAGAGTATGGTGGGTTATATTTTACTCTCAAATATATTGAGGGTGTTTGGCTCCCTTTACGTTTATTCAGTAAATGCTTATTGATGGTGCCACATAGGCACTGTCTCAGCATTTTCTCTCTCTGTAAAAAGTAAACTTTGGTTTATGTGCACGCTAGCAGTTTGTAGAAGTTATTTTTTGAAGTTATCAGCAAATAAAATATAAACATTTATTCAATAAACATAAACGAAATCAAACACATACATTATTGTTTATTAATTTTCAAGTAAGATTGTGGATGAGACACACTTCACCCTAAAACATGAAATGACCCCGTACTGAGTACAGGGAATGAATTCTTGGATATGTTATTGGGGCATTCAATAGTTCTTTGGTTTTACTCCCCTTTTACGGTGGAATTTCATTTGTCTATAGACATTTCAACTCAAAAGTTGCTATTTGACTAAAAGAACACCCTTTTATATGCGCTAGCTAGCTGTTTTAATTTAAAAGCTTCTACCATGAACACCTAATGTAAGCCCTTCAAATCTCTATTTAAGTCTAGAATATTCCTAACCTAGACTAACATAAACACTTAATTTTTAGAGTGGCAATGCATACTATCCTGAACGTCTAATTAATGTGAATTTTTTGTATCGCTATTGAGATACCTAAAAAGCTAAAGCATGTTTATGTTCGTTACCGGTTAATAACTCTTGCCATGAAAAACATAAGAGTAGTAGATTCAATATTCCATTCTCTGGGCAACCCGAGATAATCCAACCCAGAAACTAGATGAGAATATCACCTAGGGAGTAGGGTGTTCCTTGTAGAGTGAGGTTTAAAAATAAAATCAAGGCAGTAAACAAGTGTTAGCTATTACCTCTGTCTCTGGATGTTATAAGACAGTGGTATACACATATATTAAAAATCCTCTTGATGGACAAGTACCTTCAGGATCTCACTAGAATGCATTTTATTCATAAAGTCAGATCCAGGGTACTTGCCTTTCTTGATACCTTACTACTATCATAACACCCCTTCATCCAGAAAACCTTGGAAGCCGTGTCTTCATCTGTAGAAAGTTTTTCCGTCATTGTAGTTGGAGAGAGCAACGACAGACTTAGATTGTTGTCTGTTTCTTCCTCTTCCCAACCCTTTCCCAACTTTGTTCGCTGTCTTGGTGTCAGTTCCAGTGAGAGATCCAAATCAAGGTCAGAATCGGCTGCCTTCCTTTTCACTGCGCTTCTCTCTTCTTCACTACTCGTCTTCCAGTTTGAATGTAAGAATAAGCTCGTTTTGTCCAAACAGCTCAACCTCGCTATTCCCGTTTCTTGCAATTGGGTCACATAGCTTGGAATATTAGCTTGGGTTTTGTAGGGTTCACGATCATATAGCAATTGGTACTCGTTAGGGTATTCATGTGTTCTCCTCCCAGTTTGTTCAGTGAAAGTCATGTCATCCATATAGAAATCCCTGTTAGACGTGTTTGCATCACCGTCCACGCAGGGGATAGGAATCCAGTTCCCATGTCTGCTCCTCAGAAGATCGGTATATCTGATGTGTATTAAAGAGAGAGAGAGAGAGAAGGGATCTAGTAAGATGTTATGCTCGATAAATAATTATGAATAACGCATTTGCAGAAAGTATACCAACTTCTTCAGTACCTGATGATGTTGGAACGAATTCTTTGATCCAGAAGACTGTGCAGCATGGGAACTTGACAAGGGTTGTAAATACGGTGATCCCAAGTTTGCAAAAAGAATCCTTTGTCTGTTATCACTTTCGTAGAAAGTTTACACCGGCACAACATTAGAGAGAGATGCCTAGGGAGGCAAGCCATAAAAAAACAAAAAAGAACCCTAGTTTAGTTTTGTAAAGGAAAAGCCGAAAAGGTTTTGGATGAATCTTTGTACCTTGGCCCTGGTCATCGACCTTCTTACTCCTGTACATCTGTTGGCACAATTCAACAAATCCGACAAAAGTAAAGATGAAAAGAGTTGTGCAATTGTTGAGTTGATGAAATTAGAATTGAGACTGCTACCAACCAAATTACCTGTAAATGGCTCTTGACATGAGCAATACTTAGTCCTTTTATGTTCATCAGTTGAAGAACTAGCTTAGGTGTGGCTTCTGCACCAAATTAAGGATGAGCAGGAAGGTCATTAAGATTGTGATGGAGATTGGAGATCATCCAACAGTGAAGAGATATGAGCACTCACTTTCTTGACCTCCAAGTCTTTCCACAGCTTGAACAAAACAAAGGTGAAGCTCCGGCGTCCAACGCAGCCTCGGCATCTTGGACCTTATGTACTGCCGTACCTTACCTCCACCGGAGCTCGCCTTCATTTCACTCTCCTCGACACTACAGTTGCTTGAGCTCACACTGGTTCTAGGCGTACTCTCATCGTCTCCCTCTTCATCCTCGTTCTTTTCAGAAGGTTTTGCCTCCAAATCGTCGCCACAGCTTTCACATCCCTTTTCTAGCATCATCCCCAACTTCACTCCTAGCTCCAGCTTCGGAGCATACTACTAGAGATGATGATGAGAAAAAGATTGATGAATTAGGGTAAGGTACTAAACGAGAAGGAAGAAAGATCTGCACCGAATTTCGATTTTCTCCCTTCTTCCAACATACCTAAATAACCTACACAGAATTCACCTAAACTAAACTATAAAAAGAGACAAGGGTGACGATCTTGCAGGGAATTTCCGCACCAAAGCAAGCTAACTAGCTAGGTAGCAGATCAGATACTCTCTCTCTCTCATATATGTATTAGTAACATGTATGTATGTGCATGTATTCATGTCGGCATGGATGATGATATGTTATGCATAAAAATAAGCGAATGAAGTGTGCAAACCAAAGAGGGTTTGGGAATCACGTTTGCTGACGCTTTGATGCTTGCTGTCGGTGGATCACGGATTTGTTTACGAATGACCGCATCAAAAAACTCTTTTTTTTTTTCTCATTTGTATAATATTCAAGTGTCGAAGAGATTCCTGCAGTTATCCTGTGTAGTCTCCAGGGGCCCAGTGTCTAGACTCTAGATGGTCCAGTCTTAATTTCAGAGACGTCGTAATAAGAAATTATGTGGTTCATTGATTGGTATTCACACAATCCCTGACAAGGGGAAAAAATATTGGCAGCTGTACAGTAGGGCTCTCCCCTGACAAGGGCTTGTTCTTTTCACTTTTACCTTCCACGTCAGATTCATACCCCACTTTTGGTCGATGCAAAATAATGAAATAGCCACACAGAGGGCAGGGATGAATGATGTGGCAAATCAACTTGTCACATTATGTCTGGTTCTGTTGAGACCAAATAAGCCCCCACAAGATTGCCCCCGGCAACGTCCCACAGCACATCTCGCCGTGTGTTGGGAACATCTCCCGGTGGTAATCCCAAAAATGATGATGTCATCATTGAGAGATGTTCCTAATGCATGGGGGATGTGCTGTGGGACATTGTGGGGGGCAATTTTGTTGGGAGATGATTTGAGCAGGGTTCTATTTTATTTTTAGTTTTACCATGGTTTTTAAAATCGAATCAATGATCAAACCGGTCAAGGGTTTGGTTACTGGTTTGAACGGTCGGCCTGTTCTGACAAAAATTTAAAAAAAAATCGAAAAACGATCAAAACCGTTTGACGGTTAACCGACTGGTTTAGTAGTTTGTTGACCAAAATCAACGATTTTAGGGAAAAAAGTGATTTTGGGGGAAAACTAAAGTGACCGGTTCCCAGTTTTTCCGATCCAATCTGGTTTTGAAACCATGTGTTTTACTACCTCCATACATACATTAAAGCGGATGGAGATCAAATCAGCCTCCCACAAAACTGCACCTCACAACATCCCACATTGCATTTTGCCATGTTTTGGAAACATTTTTCGATAATAGTACAAAAAATGATGATGTCATCATCTGGAAATATTCTTAATATATGAATGTACTCTGCGATGTTGTGGGGCACACAGTCTTGTGGGGGGCTGATTTAAACTCAACTGGGACGCTACCTGTGCATTCCAAGGTATAACAATTGGTAAAGATCATTGAGGATGGTGCATAACACACTGTTATATATAATAAACAAGTATTATTTATATATATATATAATACAGATTTTCTTATTTTCTATCAAACCAAAAACACAGCCTTATGGAGTATACACTGTATACTGATTGTGTATTATGTGTTCATTGAGTGTGCCTACCAGGCTGAACATTGATCAATATAAGCTATTGAGATATTTCACCAAGTATTGCTTATATGAATCTCTCCCAAATAGACTCTGAAGCTGCGTTTGGTTTCTCTCAACTTTGTGTTTTTTTTCTCTTATTTTCTATCAAACCAAACATAATCGTAATATGTTAATGTCCCCTAACTGATCTGATTTTTTTGGCTGTAGATAATGTAAAAGGGGGCTGACAAATGATTGAATTATGTCTAAGGCTTAATTTGGAAAGAATGCAAATATAAAATTTAAAAATACCAATATATAATATTTTGCACTGTACATATTGTATTGATACTCTTTCCAATAAATTGGACTGAATTATGGATTTATTGAGTGGGTTTACTTAAGGTGCAAATGCCTTGGCGCTCCCACAATAACTGGTTATAGGATCAACAGCTTAGAGTGTTCTTCTATTGCTCTCTAAGTTGGGTTGCTTGTATTGTATCAACAGCTAATAGGATCAACAGCCTAGAGAGTTGAGATACCTGGGTTGCTTCTATTATATCTGCTCCGTGTTATTTCTCTTATATATTGATGGTGAGGACTGTTAAAATGAAAAGGAAACAAAAAAAAAAAAAAGGTGAGGGTTTTAAATTAATTCTAAGCTTGTAAAGATAGGAGGCCTAATATTCTGTGAATGCTTTGATCAACAAAAAATAATAATATTCAGAAATTTATCTATAATAATAATAATAATAATAATAATAATAATAATAATAATAATAATAATAATGTGTTATAGTGTCTTGTCTTGCATGTGACTATGTGAGAGATATTAAATATGAATTAAAAAAAAGGGATGATAGAAGGATTCACTGTCACCACCCCTTTAAAATTAAATTAAAGTTTATAAACTCATAGCTGTAAAGTCAACTTCTGATTAACAATACTTGCTTCCATTTTATTTTATTGCATGAGAATACGTGAGCCCTATTAATGCGGATCCAACCATTTTTCGAGAATGAGCATGTCTGTCCCTCTTACTGCATCATCACCATTCACCCCCCTTTCATGCTTATATATGCATGTCACAACCTTATGTCATGCCATGTCCAATTGACAGTACTTTCAAGTTCCAACATACTTGTGCACTATTGGTTTTGTCAAGCTGTAATCCAAAAGCCTTCAACATCCCCTAGAAAACAATTCGGACTTTGGGTACGTAACGCACGGGCACCGATAGTTGCGGTCAGGGCACCCAAAGGTCCAAAAAATCGTTGCTTAGTATAGTTTTACTGGGTCAGGACTCGAGTCGGGACCAACAAAAGGATCACGTAGCGCTAGCGAGAATGCCTACATCAAAATTCAAAAGATAACGCATTAATTATTATTATTATTACTAATTTTTTTGTTCTTTTTCGTAGAAACTAGAAAGAGTATTAATCACTTTCGATCAGTACCAACCAAATTCATTGTTGCTTGTGCAGTAGACCTCTCAGAACCAGATAAATTGAGTTTTGATTTTATATATATAATCATATACTTGAGGCATTCAGTCTCCATAGTGTAAGGCTTTCCATGGGGCATACAGGCGATGAGCCAAGCTATGGAGCCATAGACCGTTTTACATGAAATAGTGCAAATATAAACGGAGCTTATGTGCATTAAGCACTCTTCTCAAATGGAGCCTCGCTCCAATAAAAACCAAACATTTGCCTTGAAAATAACAAAAATTTGATATATTTGAATGGTTGCTTTTGTAAACTAGAAATACACAACTTACTATTTTTTCACATGGACAGCCAAACAGAACTATTGAACTACAAGCAAATTAAAACTTACGAGAATTTGCCAAGAAACATCAACCAAATATAAAAATAATAATGGAAATAATTGAGCCGTCCTATCCTAAGTTCCTAACCATGACTATTGCCTCACCCTTTGAGTATGATGAGGAAGTGAGAAACTCAACATCCTCTCCCCACTTGTTTCTTTTCAAATTTTTGTTGACAAAAACCTCGACCCAGTTTGATTCTAGTCAAGTCAGGCATGGCAATTTTCAACCCGCCTCTAAGTACTGCAGGTTCAAAGTTCAAACTGCCACACAAAGAGTAGATTTGAATCTCTTTACTTAATTGGGTTCAGATTACACACTGTAGGAATAGCAATTAATGCAATTCGGATTTCCAAATTCAGGAAATGATCAATACTATCCAAAATCCAATATATTTGTCCATGGGAAAGCAAGAGTTCTGACTCATCAGATAAATGTACTCATTTCAATTATTTCTTCTTAATATATAATCGCATATATGAGTACTCCATTTTAGATGATGGAATTGTCGGTTCTAATGCTCTAAAAAAAAAGTTATATTACTAGAAACAAATCATGATCTGGTATTCAAAGTCCAATTACCTCATAAAACAATTCACCAAGGTATTCTAAGCCCAGGACATTCTCTTAACATTTCTTTAATTTCATGGCTCACTACTTGATAATAGCGATGGCAATTCTTGACTTTGACCTGCCAACCAACCCGGCATAATTTCAGGCTTCAGAATTAATATTTCTCAAGAACAAATTTAGGCCGACATATCATCCCGATCCCGGCTTATACATGTAATATGGATCCATTAATTAAAGAAGGAAAAGAGGAGGTTGGAGGTATAAAAAAATGTGGGTGAGATCGATGAATGTGGTTGATAGCAGCTGCAATTCTAGCTTACATGTATTCTTGAAATTGAAAATATGTAGTCTTATTATTGGGTTCTCCATTGACCAAGTTGTCTTCTCTATCAACGCAGATTCCTCTCATGATTCGTTGGTTCATTCAATTATTTTATGTTACTTTATGTCATGACTGGTTTAGCTACACCCAGAATTTCAAAGTTAGGTGTTTGTTCCCTTTATAAAAGCTTGGTTCATTCAATTATTCTTATATATATATATATATATAACTATACTGCCACGAAATTGCAGTCTGAACATGACCCTTTGAATATTGATCTCCTCCTCCAGTAATATGACTTAATCTTTAGCACAATTATATTCATCCTGAATCTAGCCATATATACATGACAATATTTCGATTGAGTTGAAGACTTGGAAAATTTGTCCCAGTTATTGGGTCACCATGACCAGTCCAGTGACCATTTTTCCATCTCACTGACGCCCTCCCAC